TTCCACTGCTTTTATTGGGATTTTCCTATTGTAAATTCCACTTGGTACAAATAAGTGATAACCTGACATTATTCAGTGACCTTGGTTTCTGGTTTGTTTTTCTTTCAATCCCTATGTTGTGTGTGTGTGTGTGTGTGTGTGTGTGTATATATATATATGAGTTTAGCCTAAAATAAGGGCAAGCAAAAATTGCCTTGGTGGACCTCTTAAAAATGGCTTTTTTTTTTCTTTTTTTTTTTTTTTCAAGAATTTGCAAAATTTGTTTTTATTTGTTAAAAAAAAAATATTAAAATAAAATCTTTAAAAAATTGATAAAATAAACAAAAAGCTTTAAAATCTAATATTTTATTGACAAATAGATTATGTTGACAAGAACTGTTAGCAATGATACATTGCAGGGGAACATTTTCAAAAAAGAAATCAAACATTACAACATTATTAGCTTAGAATATGTTGTGGAAAGAACAAGATTGTTGTATTACTGTACAATAATATAAAGCAAATCAAAATAACTATTAAAACCAATATGAAGACAAGACATATTCCATGACTTCACTGTAGAAATCTTAACTTTATTTTGAATTTTGTGTGGGCATTGACATTCTGACGGCTGATTGGAAAAACTTGATGAAGGCTCAGGTTGAACCTCAAAGGGCTTTGACCACTTTGTTTTAGTGGATTTGCTCTGTGGAGAATATATAATAAAAATAAATTACATTAAGAATTTAACATATTGACAGAATATTTTGAAAATAATTTTTTTTTTTTTTTCCATTTGAAGCTCTGAATAAAGGAACTGTACTCTGTTAGGATCAACTCAAATCTTTACCACAGTAAAATATTATATAAATAGAACTACTAAAAAGAATAGAACAACAAAATACAGGTATACCCCACCTTATGTTGTTCCAGAGGTCACAACTTAGGTTGAAAAATGACTTAAGTTGTAATAACCACACTATAAACTGCAAATAAGTATTCCCCATTGCCTATTACATATGATATGTATGTACAGTGTTCTGAATAAAATAATTAATTTCCACCTTATCTTCCAGCGATATAGTCTTACACTTAGAATTAGCACCTGCACTGGGATTTTTGTTCAGTGCCGTGGGCAAAAATGTATTCTAAATCACAACTGAAATGTAATTGAAGGAACTTCAATGGCAGAACACAGATGTAAACAAGTCTGAATTCAAAATCAGTTTTTGGGTTGAAAATGATGCATGGGTTTCACCTCTTGGCTGAACATACTTTATTATGCTAATTTTTTATTTTTTGATGATATATAGTATACATAATATTATCTTTAAATTTATTTAAATATGATTTTATATATGTTTTATTGTTATTTTAGTGTTTTGATGTTTCTAATATTTTTAATGGCTGACATAAACTTTAGCAAAACAACCTCAGGCAAGTTTTATTTTTCTATATAATGTTGAAAAACCAACATATCTTCTAAAATGGCTTAACTTGAAACAACTTAAGCTGAGGCATCACTGTATTATTTTTCTGTGAGTTTAGACTTGTTTACATTATTAATGTCAACAAAAGGATCCTTTACTTGCTGACATGAAAATTAGTAATTTCTTATAGATAAAAATATTTTCATGACTAATTTAGCTTTCAGAAGAACTTTCTCTACTCGTCAATTTGTCAGAATTGAAAAACATTCATTTTCTATTATTTTGGTGTGGTGTGTGTATTGCTTATAATATAAATGTCAAACTGATCCCTAAATTTTGACATGTAGTTTTTTCCTTTTTGAGGGGGGGGGGTCCAGTCTAATTAAGTATTGCTACTTTAAAATGAAATGTATTATTGTGTGTGTGTGTGTGTGTGTGTGTGTGTGTGTGTGTGTGTATATATATATATATATATATATATATATATAATGTGCATGTTTCATTAAAAACAACAGACAAGGTACTACGATTAAGCTTTTTATTTAATTTTTATTGTGTTTGAACAAGAGTTTTCTTTTTTGGACAAAGAGTGTGTAAAAATTGTATTCTGTGTATTTCTCCCTAAAGTAATAATGATAATGAACACACAGTCAAAAATTATATACACATTTATTACAAAAGCCAAATGCATATTAATTACAAACAAGACGAATCTTCACTAAGACATGTTATAAAGAAATACACTACCCCAATTGACCAAAATAAAAAAAAAAAAAATCAAATTATCTATTATAAAAAATTTAAGACAGCTAACCTTATCCTCAAAAATAACAACACACCAGCTAAGTCAAAATTACAAAGAACGAACATTATCTAAGAGTTCAAATGCCCCTTAAGGAACTGTTCCTGATCAAACCGGACTCCTAAATAATTACATTAGTTACACAACTATATGCTTATCCAGACTTCTTACGTTACACCTATCTGATCACAGCTCCATTAGAACCCATTTAAATACACACACAAACTTAGCAGACTTTGTTAGAAACATACTAGTAGAAAACACAAATGTAATAACTGCATCCACCTGTAAAAAAAGATTAAAAATAATAAAAGCTTTAATAATAAAAAAGAAAAAGCCAACTCTTAACAATATTAACTACGAACAAGGCCACAATGTGCTAACCGTATTTGGAAATTAAAACATCCCTACTACACACTAAGACATACGCATAATGCACACACTCAGTTAAGCTGAAAAATCAAATCATTCTTGGTAATGTCTAAAGGTATAGCCAAAAGTGCTTTGGACAGTTTTTACACACTCTTTGTCCAGAAAAAAAAAGCTCTTGTTCGAACACAAGAAAAATTAAACAGTTTAACAGTAGTACTGTCTGTTGTTTTAATGAAACATGCATGAACTAAGGATTGCTTAAATATATATATAATATATATATATATATATATATATATATATATATATATATATATATATGCAAATTCTGTTCATTTTATTTCAGTAGGCATAAATGTTACAAGATTGAAATAAACTTGTAACATTTTGTTGAAATTCCTTTCATCTACCTCTTTTCTTTTATATAATAAATGTGAATGTCAGTCTCCTTTTTCAATTGAAGAGACACAACTCTAACTTTCAATAACTCATGTTGCAGAAATTTTGAATTCCCAAATTTTTGTTACTGCGATTGGTTGTGATTGGTATATATATATATATATATATATATATATATATATATATATATTAATTTTACACGATAATTTTTTATAATTTGGAAATAAATTTGGGAATAATTGAGATTAATTATGAAATCCTCCATGAAATAAAATAATTGTTTGTACAGAAAGTAAAGACCTACACACATCAAATTGTCTTTAAATTAAGTTGAAGCAGGAGAATTATTGTTGAACTTTTAAAAGGTAAGCTTAAATATTCTTGCAATTTAAAATGCATCGACCAATTCTGAGTTTTTCTGTAGTTTATTGTTGCTTATTGTATATGGCAGAAGCATGCCTCGCAAAAAGAAATCTCTGCCAGCAGAAGACCAGGTTGCAATAAAAAGAGCCAAGGCTGCAGTGAGGAAAAGAAATTCCCATGCAAATGAAAACTTAGATCAAACAGCATCCAGGAGAGCTTCCAATGCCAAGAATATGCAAAGACTTAGGGACTCTCAAACTCCTGAACAAGCCACAGAAGGAGCTAGCTTAAATGTCACCCAAAAGCCAACATTTGGCCTGATGTGCTGTTAACCATTCAGACACACAAACCTTCTGGTTTGCAAAGTTCATATTATTACTTATAATTACTGAATGGTTAACAGCATGTCAGGCCAAATGATGGTTTCCATATGGGATACAGGTTCGATTCCTGTCAGAACATATTTTTTACAAAATTTTTTGAACATTCAGGCTGGTAATTGTATTTAATATTGTTTTAATTAAAAAATGAGCATCTACTGAAATAGGTTGTATCTATAAAAATAATGTACAAAAAGAAAATATATTAAAATATTTGTTGGATTTAATCCATTTCATATATGTTGTTGTTTACGTTAGGTTATGTTTCAGAGCACAAATGATATATTGAGAAAAATTGTCAAGGATGTGTGGTTATAAGCAGTAATTTGAATTTTGCTGACAGGAAGTTCTCTGTGGCTGAATGGTTAACAGTTCATCAGGCCAAATATATAATTGCATCCCAAGCAAAAAAAGAAAAGCATTAAGGAAAGAGAACAATAAAAGAACAAGAATTAAGTATACAAAAGATGACATTGAATTTAAATTTTTGAAGATCAAAAAAAGTTTTACTTATCAAAAGATAGCTAAAGATGCATTCCAAAAGCTAAGAGATAGAAAAACTTTGTTAGAAACAAAGAGAATACTGAAATGTTATGTGATATCTGTCCTACTGTATAGCAATAGGATTGTAGTTTTACAAAAAAATACCACGGACTGAACATGTTAGTAATGATGTGGTTTTAGAGAAAATGGAAACAAAAAGGAAACTTATTCTTAACATCAGGAAGAAGCAGTTGAAATTTCTGGGGCACATAATGAGGAAGGAGGGCTTAGAAAATCTGTTACTCACAGGATGGATTGAGGGCAAAAGGAACAGAGGAAAACAGCAAATAACATTGACAATCTTCAGAAAATGAATAGCAAAACAGGGTTTAGAAAGAATTAAGACAAAATTTATTTAGAACTGCAAGGGACAGGAAATTGTGAACGGCCATGATTGCCTACATCCTGAGGGGACACAGCACATAAATAAAGAGAGACTGCCTGAACATTGATTGTTAAAATCCATTTTGAGAAGAAATTGGTATATCTTTCTATTTTGAATGTTGATTTGCTTTCTTTGCAAAATACAGTATTTTTGAAATTAGCTGAAATGATTATATCTTGTTTTGCTCTGAAATTTTTCTCATCTTCTATTTACATAATTAGCAATTTTTTAATTGACTTGTATGCTTATATATTAAAATTATTCAGTACATATCTTTAAATTTTCCTCACAATGTTTTTTTTCATTTTAAAAGTAATTTGCATGACTTTCCCTCTACTTCATTGCAGGCTGCCAGCAACTATGTGCTGTCACCTGATGCTGAGGTATTCATTCCACAACAATATAAGGCTGCTGCAGCTCCTGTGCTGATCCCTAAAGATGCCCCCATCATACCTCAGCCATTTTCTACACTGGCCGATGGTGGCTCCAAGCATCCAAACAGGATGGGCAGTAACTACACAGCACCACCAATACACACAGATGCATGTGCAGTATTACCAAATGGGTATGTACTTGATAAATAACTTATATATATATATATATATATATATATATATATAAATTTTTTTTTTTTTTTTTTTTTTTTTAAGAAATCTTTTATTTATTTATTTTTTCCCTTTTTTAACATTTGTTGCAAAAAAACAATTTAAATACACATTCCAGATATCTAATAATTGTAATATAATATCTTGTAATAATTATAAATGTGCCCTCAATGAAACCTGTTCACTTACAGAATGAGACTGTGTATACCCTGTATCTCATCTCTTCACTCAATTTGAGAAGTTATCAGCTTCTGCTGATAAAGCAGAATACTTTGCTTGTAAATTCTCTTCTAGTTCTACTGACTCAATTGGAACTGAATCTCTCCTGTGTGATATGCATATAACTCCATCCATAATTTCTTCATTCATCTCTAAACTTCATCCCCACAAAGCATGTAAGTCTTGATGGTATCCCTACAAAAGTCCTAAAGAAATGTGCACCTGAAATGGCTCCTGTTATCCTAAACCGTAACAATAAATGCCTTGCTCCTTCTTGCTTTCCTGTTTAATTGAAATTCTCTTTTGTAGTTTCTGTTTTTAAGAACTCTGGCAAACTGTCTGATTCTTTTACCTATTGGTCTATTAATCTTCTACCTCATTTTGGCATAGTTTTAAAGGTTCTAATTAACTAGGAATTGGTTAAGCATCTCATCTCAGGATTTTCTTTCAGATAAATAATATGGCTTTTACTTCTTTAGGTCAACTGCTGATGTGTTGATTATTATTGCAGAAAACTTCTATCAAGCTTTATATAAGAATGGTGAAGTTCAGGCTGTTGCTTTAAATATCCCAAAAATGTTTGACAGATTGGCATGCAGGTCTTCTTCACAAGTGAAAGGGGGTTATTTCTGAATTCATTTTTGATTTAATTCATTCTTATCTAATTGTGAAATGAAAGTTGTCTTGAATGGTCACTCTTCTAGATCTTTTTACTTTAATGCAGGTGTGTTGTCGGACTTTATCCTTGAACCTACTTTCTTCCTAATTTTCATCAACAACCTTCCCAATGTTATTAGTTCTCAACTTGGTATCTATGCTGATAACACAACTATTTACTCCTGTCTTAGTGGTAACTCTGATAAGTTTGATGAGGTTAAATTAGGAGCTAATATTAAAAAAAAAAAAAGAGAAAAATAAATCTGTTATTTGGTGCAAGAAATATCCAAAATGAAACTGCTCTCTTTTAATTATCTTAGAGAACATTTTTTTTTACCTTCTATCAGCATGGCTGATGTTAACTTCCAGGAGAGTTACTCATTGTACCTTCTTGGGATAATGTTTTGCACTGGTATTAAGTAGAAAACATATATTGAATCACTTGCCAGGAAAGTTGGTTCCTGTTATTCCAATTTTGTCTCACCAGAATTTATTTTACACATAAGACTACCATTTATCCATGCTGTTCTGGTGCTTTTGATATATATTTAGAGATTCTTGACAAATCCAGACAATATGTAATGTTATTTGTCCCACTGCCTTAATGTATCTTCCCTGTGCTTTTCTACCTTAAATTTAAGTGCAGTACTTGATTGATGGCAAGATCTCATCATTTTACAGTTGAAATGGCTTGATGTAACTATAAGTTCTATGCTAACAGTTTCTTCTCTTGCTCTTCTCACTTGTGGAACACTCTTCCAACTTCTTGATTTCCAGTCAACTTTGATCTTTAAAAATTTATATGCAATGTCAGTCATTATCTTCTGTCTCCATAATTCCTGTTCTTTTTATCTTCCTCTCTTTAATATTTTTTCTCAGATTCTTTCACACTCAGTAACCCCATGAGTTATAGTAGCCTTATCACCTTGCTTGAGGTGAAATGATTAAAAAAAAATCCTTTTGTATCATAATTTAAAAAAAAAAAAAAATTACCGAGGATGTTTACTTTATTTTCTTCTTTCTGGTCAATTTAAAGTATTTGATTTACTCTCTACATTTTGGTTTTCATTAAGTTAGCAATAGGTACCATATTTTGATTTTTGAAAATTTTGTACTTTGTTATTGAAATGTTTGGTTTGAAATAAGTGTTGTCCTCTGTTTTGTGTATAAAAAGTGATAACATTTGTTTACTTTTGATACAAGATTTTTTTTTTCTTAAAAATGCCTTTACTTATTTTTTTGTCTTTTTAGGGGAAAATAATGAAGAAACTAATCAGAATTGAAATAGTTGTAATTTCTGTAAACATTTTCAAACTTTGACTCTCTTTGTTATTATAAACTTAGTTAGATTTTAACCCATTATTGTATCATTGTAGACATTGGTTGGTACTTAACATGTGGGTTATTACTGTAATCAGGGTTCTCTTGCATGTTCGAAATTTGCAGTTAATAAAATGCCATGAAAAAGCTAAGTACTTTGCTTGCAATGGAAATTAGTGATTACCTGTCAATTACATTTGTGTTCACTTTGATGTATAATTATTGGCTTCTTTTTTTTTTTTTTTTTTTTCCTTTTATATATACATTGATACATTGTTGAGTAAGACCTGTAGATATTTTCACTAAGAAAATCTCTACAGTGACTATTACTATAACCTCTGGGTATTTTTTTTTTTTTTTTGTTTTGTTTATCCCAAGTCAGTTTGAATAAAAATGTGCAGGTCAGAATAATTAAGCTGATTAATTGGTATTTAAATTTGAAATAATGTTTATCTTGGATATTTTTTGTTTTTTAAAATGAATATCTTTATTTTACAATTTTTTTTTTTTATACTCTTGTTTTTTATGGTTGTAATAATGTTTATGAAGCAAATCATGTTTACTGAAAGGATATGTTAAATAAAAATATCAAAAAACATTCAGTTAAACTCTCAACATTGTTCAATTACATTAGATGCAAAGTCTCTTGTTTTTTGGCAGCTTTGAAAATGGTATTTTCTTAGAAGAAATTATCCTTTTGCTTACTAAATCTGGATTACTTACACATCCTTTTGTTTTGATGTTAATTCAATACAAAATATAATCAGTGTTACTTGATTTCAGATATGAATTAGGATTTAGAATTTTCAAGAATATTACCTGTTCTATAATGTAAATCCATACTAATGCTCTCTGTTTAAGGTGTATTTCAATATTTAACAATTGGGATGATAATATATTTGTGAATATAAAATATTACAAAAGTTATTTGTTAAAAAAACAACTGTATGCATACTCTTGTTTTAGTGAAATTGAGAAAAAAGACATTGAACATTTTAATAACTTTCTATGAAAACTGATAATTAAGCTATTAATTTGCTAAGTAGATTACTATTAACTGGATGTATAAGAACTTCATCCTTACTAGATATGTTTAAACACACCCACACAATTTATGGGGATATGTGAGAAAGATAGCAGTTAATCCTAGACTTGAAAATTGTTGGTTCCACAAAGCAATGATTCGTGGGAAGAAGCTGCTCGAGTGCTCATCATTGGAATATGAAGGGAATGAGGGTAGTTTTGCTACAACGTGCCTAGCGTAGCAGGTCTTGGCTGTGAAGGTTAGAACTGATAGAACTAAAGAGTGTAGTTCATCTGAATACTTTCCATGGAAATAGCGATCAAGCAGCAAGAGAAAGGGGTTATAGCGTGGAAAATAATTCACCACCCATTTGGACTCTATCTTGACTGGAAATATATATATAGCAGCAGTACTCCATGTTTGGCCTGATCTGGCTCTTGTAATGGTAGGGGGATAGATAGTTACTGAAGTGGGACAGGAAACTGACCATATATTTCTTCTTTTTTTTTTTTTTTTTTTTTTTCATGATGAAAATCTATAGATTTTTTTTTTTTTCTCAAGTATATATCTGCACCTTGTGTATTAACCATTCCAGAAAAGGTGATATATTTTTTTAAGTACTCTAGTACTTGTTTTGAACGGTAAAGATGTTATTTGCTATAACAAAGGTTTCTGGTTGTATGAAACCTGTTACTTTCTATAATTGTTGCTTTTCTTCACTTAAAACCTTCCTAATCAAAATAGTATTATTTGATAATTATCCTGTATGAATATCCTGAAATATTTGTTAGAATTTACATGTTCTCTGTAAATATTTAATTCTAAGATCAAATTTTATTCCAAAAATAAAAAAAATGACATTCTGTATATTTTTAATATTTTAGCAATAGGTTCTTCTAATTCATTCACTATGACAGATCAGTGTTTATTGATAGTTATTATCTTTTCAACACTCTAATGTCCATCCTCTCATTTACAGAGTACGATGGATAAATTGTCATCTAAACTACGCAAAAATGAAAATAACACTGACATCTCACTTTCAAAGATACCTTTACCAAAATTACACAAAAATATCTTGAAATACTAAATAGTAAATTTCTTCAGTAAAATCGCCATTGGCTTCAACCACGGCCTCCAGACGAGTTTGGTATCTCCTGCAACTCTTCTGGACTCTGTCCTTGTATAAGTTGGTGAATGTTGCCATAATGCTTCTCCTCGGTTCATCTCTGGTGTTACAAGTTTTGTTGGTCTCTCACTCAACTGTGCCCCATACATAATAAGGGAATTGCTGTCTAAAAAGATAGGTGGTCAGATGTAAAGGATGATGTAGTTGCAGAAATTGTTTGACAGCCATGTCTAGGTTCTCCCACATGTATGGCAGATTGCAGAGTCCTGTTGCCAGGCACAGGGTCTTCCAGTAGCCACTCTTGACCCAGGGTGGCACTGCCTCCTTAAGGCGCTTGATGTTGGCCACCATAGTATCAGAGTGAGCTTTCATAATCACCATTAAACTCTTCCAACTCATTCTAAATCTTCTACACTGTCCTCAGATTGACACCCAAACAATCTGTAATGTTCATATTGGAGCTTCCGCCATGAATGCCAAATAGTACAGCATGCTGTTTGCAAATTTCTGGCAGTGTGAATTGCACCATAGTGCTCTTTTTCTCACTGACAGTGTCCAACTGACTGTATTGTACTGTGCAATTGGCAAAAACAAACATGTATGTGTGAAAC